CTCCGCAGCAGAAACAGAATAATCACAAAACCCTTGCTGATTTGGATTATTCTTTAAGTAAAAGTATATGCCCAAATCAACCTGAAGTATTGACCATCTCTTCCGACAAACATGCTATCTCAGCTTGTAAATCCAACAACTTCTCCTATGGTAAGTCCTTACAGATCATAGCAAAATCACAAGACAACACAAATAACTCGCTGGACCCGTTGACTCCTCCTAGAGTCCGACTAACAAAAAAATCGTGTATCGGCAATGGTCGTTATTTGATGGCTAGACTAAGAGAACCGGCTATTTTATCGTCCCTCAAGCTCTTCCTCGCCTATCTTCATGACCAACCATCATCTGTCTGTCATGAGGGCTACACGAACACAAGTGTAAAAGTGTTTCTAGCCTCTGAGGGACTGCCTGTTGATCCTGGAGCTTTACGGATCATTTATTATGATTATCATGATCTATATGGTATTGGCTCAGCTGAAGTGGATAACGATCTCTCTACCTACAGAGCATATATATCCGCGGAACGAAGAATACACCTGCAGAAGCAAAGGGAGTACAATCATCGTTATTTTACTGCCGATTCACCTAGGAAAAATTTTTAATTAATACGACGTGTCCTGGGGAACTAGAATCCCCAACTAGTCTTACTGGCTATGCCGACAGTAAATTAAGAATGGTTCTAATTAATATTCGATCAATACGGAATAAGACTGATGAATTGTATTTGTTTTTGGAAGAGTTAGGGTTTCCCCAAATAGTTGCTATTACAGAACACTGGTTACAAGTTGGTGAACCAGTTTTTGTCGAAAAATATACTATCGTCAGCAGATATGATAGAAGTAATACAGACCATGGTGAAACTCTAATTTTATCCTTAGACAAGGACTTTTCTGCTGTATCTAAATACGACTTTCTACAAGCTGAAAATTTCTTCGAATTTTCCATTGTAAACAACAAAAACATTGATTTGTTTATTATTTGTATTTATAGAACACCTAAATCAAATGTTCACCTCTTTCTAGAGAATCTTCTTAATCTACTTGACGCATTGCCTATAAAAAGTAAGAAAATTTTATGCTCATATAGATACCTTAGCAAAAAAATTATCCTCCGCATGTTTTGCCATTAAATCGGTTTCTAAAGAGCTGACTCCTTCTACTGCATTAATAACCTACTTTTCCTTATTCGAATCTCACCTTCGCTATGGTTTACCTTTCTGGGGTTCTTGTAGCTTATACCTTTTAGAATCTATTTTTAAACTGCAAAAAAGAGCAATCCGCTATGTATTTGGTTTAAGTAGTAGGACACATTGCGAAAATTACTTCAAAAATTTCAAAATTATAACCCTTCCTGCTCTATTTATTTTCGAATCCGTCTGCTTAGTTCGCAAGCACATTCAAAATTTATCCGAAAGACCGACTCGTAGATATCCTACAAGAAATTTAGAGACTGATGTGAATTTAACAATGCCCACTTCTGACCTATTAAAACATTCCATTACCTACAATGCCAAAAAATTGTATAATAACCTTCCGATGTAATTAAAATCTATAAATACATACGATAAGTTCCGAAGACTGGCTAAAGCTTTTCTTCTAGAAAGACCATATTACACAGTAGCAGAATTTTATAACGTACCTTAGACATTTGAGTTCCACATACAATGGCATTAATTAAATAATTAAATATTAAAGTTTAAATTTAAATTTAAAAATTAAATTAGAATAATTATAATGACGGATATTGCATATCCATTGCAATTGTTATTCTTATTTTGTCTGTTTGTTTCTGTTTGTTTTTTCTGCTGTTTAGTTATTTTTATAATATGTTTAGTATTTAAGTTACACGCTTTGTCTATAAAATTTTTGTAAATTTTTTTACGACAATAAAGCATATCTCTCTCTCTCTCTCTCATATTAATATGTACTATTTTCATTCTAATATGTTTTACCATTTTATACATGTCCACATCATAATATACCGATATAGATACATCTTGCTAATATTAATAAGGCAACGAAACATTTTGTAAACAAAATAAACGATATGAAAATCAATTTTTCTGTTAAAATTTCCAATAAAGAAAGAAAACATGGATAAGTAACGGGTTGGTAAATTCAATAAATCATAAAAATAAGCTATATAAAAAAATGAGGAAATATCCCACAGAGGACAATATAAATATTTACAAAAGATAAATAAACTATTTAAATAGCCTAATAAAAACTACCAAATAAAAATACTACCAATCTGAAATTTTGATTTGCGGAAATGCGTGAATGAAATTGTACATAAAACTAAAAAACTGAAAACATAAAAATATCTATAGATGGAAAAAAATAACAATGCAACAAACTATTGCCAATAAATGTGTGCAACATTTTAGCAATATTGGAAAAATATTAGCTGACAAAATTTTACGTAAGCACAAAATACTACCATCAGTAAAAACAACTCTAGTAAACTCGATATTCATTTCAGAAACAAATATAAATGAAATAAAATCGTTCATAGTGAACTAAAAAATAAAAAAAGCTCCCAAAATTGATAATATATCAACAGAAATGTTAAAGATTGGTGTAAACACTTTTGCAGAACCCTTGGTTTATTTGATTAACCAGTCGTTTGAAACAGGAGTCTTCCCAAAATGTCTTAAGATCTGTCTAGTCAAACCACTATATTAAAAAAGGTAGTAAAGAGGATATGAATAATTACAGGTCGATTTCCTTAAAATCTAGTAATACAGGATATTAAAGTTAATGAATAAATACAACATAATTTTAAAAAATCAATTTGGTTTTGTTGAAAATAGATTCACCTAGGATGCCGTTGTATATGTAACATCTAAAATTAATAATTTTATTGATAAATCGCGACCAAGCCTAACCTAGCTAAAGCCTTTGACACGCTGTGTCATAGGCAACTTCTACATGTTATGGAAAATTTAGGATTTAGAGGTGTGTCCTATAAAATGGAACTATTTTTTTCTCTACGGCTTCTCTCAATGAAAGATTAGATGTGGCTACTTTTAAAAAACATTTAACCTCGACAAGTTCATTAGAATTAATTAAACCTAAAAAATAGAAAAAGTTATTAAACTATTGTTATAATACATAAATAATTATCCCTTACCATCAGGTGATGCACCTAGGAACCCACATTGCACATCAACAAATAACCCTGATGGTATAACTGTTTTGCCAGTTTCTTCTTGAAATTTTTTTATTTCTTAATAAAACTTACAACCTTAATCTATGAACATTATGAATTTTAAAATCAAATAACTACTTCTTTGTCTAAGTCTTAGACTTAGGTACTTAATACCTACTATCTTATATTTCTTATATTGTAAAACAATGAAAATGAGAACAATTTGTTTTTCTATCTTATGGAGTTAAAAATTCTTTTAAAATCAATATAAAAGGTAAATATTTATTTCCACAGGTGTCAGCGATATACGCCATCAAATAATATGAGATTTAAACCCGAATCGCCGAATTCAAAGTCCCAAGCTCTGCCCATTCCTTTATTAATGGTATTAATTTATATACATCATTTTTATAAATCTAAATATTTCGTTTTCAGCTAAAGCAAAAATCGGTCATTTAATTATAGGTGATTGTAAATTGTCTTCATATTTAAAAAAATTAAATTTATCTATTTTTGAAAACATGGATCTAGCAATCAGTATGTAGGTATATAGAATTAATAAAAAGCTTGTTTTTAAAAAATTTAAAAATAAACAATTATATAATTACTTATTGATTTGTAATTACTATTGAAATAAAATAAATAATATAACTAAAATATTGATCTTCCCTTGTTTCCGTATCCAGATAGAAATGATTCTACGCTAAGAACTCCGTGAAGAGCAAATAACAAATTCAACAGATCGATAATTCATTTTGGCGAGTTTATTATTTTACCAAATATTTGACTACAAGCACTACTAGTTAGGCAGTCCTGCAGTACAGAATTCGACCGCAAATCCTTTGGAAACTCTGTCCTTAACATACTTAAAGAAAACATTCACTATAATAAAAAGATTGAAAATCTCTTTTTTACTGTTTATCAAATTACTAATAAATCCTATCGCTATTACTTCTAAGCATTTCTTTGTCCTAACTGTCCCCGCCTCATTTTTATCTCTCCTAATATTTTCTTCCCCTAATTACCTTACTTCCTTATCTCCTTTGCAACTTTGATCTCTTTTCCTTATATTATTTTCCCTAAACACAAGCAATAACTTCCTATTCCCTACATGTCTGTTATCAAAATGTAATTCTCTCAATATTTTTACATAATTCTTCATATCCTGTCATATCCTTTCACCAATACATTCTGTTTCTTAACTACTGTTCCTCATTTCTCTTTATCTGAGTAACCTCTTTAATCTATAATTACTTGTTCTAATGGAAATAAATCTTCTATTTCCTTTAACCAATTAACTCTAATTTTTACGACTTCTTTTTTTTCCCTTTCTAAGCATCATTTATTTTCATTAGTGAATTAAAGCGAGAGATATTAATTTTTGTTGCTGAAATTAAAGTTGCTCGTCAATTTTTTTCTTCAAAGAAAACAAATTTAATTAAAATTCACTGTACTGCTACTATGGAAGAATCATTTTTGCAACTACGCCTATGTGTGAGTAACACGTGTTGTTGCGAGCTCCCAAAATTTAGTACATTTTTACTGGGAAAAATTAAATTATTAATTATTTACTCAAGTGCATTCAGTGAGTTACAGTGGCTAGTAAGTGCTGTTGATGGTACACAATCCTATAAATAGTTATTTGAAAATATTCTTCAAAAAACATTCTTTTTTGACAAGGTAACCATTTTAAAATTATTAAACACGTTGATAAGTCAGTGTCTACTATGCCGACCACACGAAATAACTCAAATCAAGATAATTCTATGGAAGATTTAATTATTAGAACTTGCACTCAGCAAAAAAATATATTTAGCGAACAATTAGATAAAAATTCAAAACTTTTGAAGAAAATATTCAAGCCCTGTTTGGTCAAGTTAGTGAAAACACGCAAAAGATAGACAGACTTGAATCAAACGTAGATCGTCTAGAAAAATATTATAAACAAAATAATCTTATTCTTTACGAATTGGCTGAACTGGACGAAGAGAAAGGAAGTGATCTCGAAAAAGCTATTGTAAAACTATTTAACCCGTAACCGGTGAGGTGCAATTTCAGTTACATTAAGCGTGATGTGGAGTCACACAGACTCCTTTAAAAAAAAATAATATTAAAAGAAATAAATATTGTAATGAATAAATTTCACTGAAATAAGTTACAACTAGATGAGTTTTAGTGGCTCATATATGATTTTTTCATTAAAAAAAAATATTAAAGTATGTTTTTGTTTTTATACTGTAGTATTGAAATTTCTCATTATTAGAACAAGCTTCCACAATTTCATCAATTAAAAAAAAAATATATTTTTTTTAGAAGTTTACAATATTAGGTGAGACTAAGGGAATACTAATCATTAATTTTTATGCAAAAAATAAACATATTTATTCAGTACAAAAATTCTGACAACAGGTGAACTACACTAATTTCAAACAACATATATTTTAGATACTCCTATTTTGAAGCACATTGTGTGCATATTTTCTTGCTGCATGATAAACATATAGGCTTCTTACAATCACAGCATAAGTAAAATGTCTTTCTATGAAGTTTGGATGGGCATAAATAACAATACTTCCGAACCTCTAATTTTTCTTCGGCTTCAAATGGTACTGGTTCTTCGAGTGCAAGTATTCTTTTTATTGAGTTTCTTATGTCCAAGTTAATTCTAGGATTTTCAAAACGTCTCCTCATAAAAGGTTCTGTCAGGCTTTTCGCTAGTGCCTTCATGAATTTGATTCGGGATGTATTTTCGTTATTCTTGAAACAATTGTGCATGACAAATGCGTTGACACAACTCATGTCTAATATTTGGTAAAAAATAGCCATTGGCCAACGTCTAGTTCTCCTTGAAGAGCTGTAAATGGTGCATTTCTCATCTAGTGCATCGACGCCTCCTTTTGTTGAATTATAAAATGATATTATTTCGGGTTTATTACTTTCAACATCCGTTAGAACGAGAGTGATGCATAGAAGAAATGAGGATTACAGCTTTATTTTTCTTAGGAATATAGGAAACCAGCGTTTCATGTTTTGAAAATCCATATAATGCAGAACCAACTTGTTTTTGTCTGCTTGCCTTAAATTCTGGTGGTATTTCTCTTTTGGTTTTTCTCATTGTTCCAACATAGGTAAGGCCTCTGGATTGTAGCTCTTTCACCAACTGAAGAGACGAAAACCAGTTATCCGCAGTAATGTTCCTATTAGTGCCAAAAAGAGGTTTTGAGAGACGAATTACGGATTGTGTGGGTTTGGTCAAATTTTTCTCTGCATTCGAAAGACCAATTCCATCCGAACCTTTTCCTGTATAAATATAGCTATTATAGGCAAATTGAGTCTTAGCATCAGTTAACAACATAAGCTTTATGCCATATTTTCGTGGCTTGTTCGGAATGTACATTCGGAACTTGCACCGGCCCCTAAATCCGATTAACATCTCATCAATGCATGCATTTTTCCCAATGGTAAATACATTTTGACAATTTTTAAAAAACATTTCAAAAATGTTATGAATATGAGCCGCTGGTTGTTCTTTCAGCCTTTCTTTCCTAGTTGTGGTATCATCAAACCTCAAGCAATTGATCAAAACACTAAATCTTTTTCCGCTCATAATAGTTCTAAAAATCTCTCTTCCGGTTCCATCTGCAGTAAACATGGCATCAATATCTTCATCATTAGACTTGTAGATCGCGGTATATATTAGTAAGCCCATCAAAGCTCTTATTTCAATACTATCCGTATTTTTCAAATCTGTTCGCGTCTCTTCAGCATAACGTGTTCGAATTTCTGCAATCTTTATATTTGTATACTGCACTATAGTATTTATCATAGCTTCTGAGATGAGAAGGTTCCATATATCTTCAGGATTGGCTCTATCTCCTAGAGTACGAGCAGGACCTTTTAATCCTGGTAAGGTTACAACTATATTATGTTGTGGAGTTCGTACATTCCTTACAGGTTCGTTTACTGCCCACTTTTGTCGATCTTTCCCATAAAAATACTTTTTTTCAATTCCATTATCATTGTCTTGGTCTGCTTCTTCCGAGGCTTCTTCATCAATATTTTCATCATTTGACAAAGATTGTTCATCATCATCACCACTTTCACTTGAAAGTCGATATTCGTGTTCTTCAAGATCATCTCCGTCTTCCATATCAGATCCTTCCGATCCTTCTTCATTATGCCATCTTAAAATGGTACTTTCAAAATTACTGTCCAATGGATGAACAGTTTTCGATGTACCAGGACGTAAATCCATCTAAAAATAACAAGTTTTACACAAAAATTTCAAATTTTATCACAATTAAAAAACTTACCTTAACGGTGAGGTGGAGTCACAGAGACTCTGATTTCTAATTTAAACGTGTTTACAGTACCGTAGCTCGATGAACACTGAATACCAATAACTACTAATAGTGATTTGAAGGTACATGAGCACGCGCGATATTCGAGGTCACCGGAAAAAAGTTACAGTGGTTTTTAAAGTGTCAGGAGTCTGTATGACTCCACCTCACCGGTTACGGGTTAATGAAAAATTGAATATAACAATAAATGTGTCAGACGTTGATCTCTGCTTCCGACTTGGCAAAAGGGACACCAATGATCGCCCTAGAGCAATATTAATTCGTTTCATCCCGTATAAACTACGTAACTTAATATTTATGAAGAAAAAAATGTTAAATTAAGTCATCTCTTGATTTATATAAACAAGCTGTTTCTAAATATGGCAGAAATGCAGTTTGGACTTATAATGGAGATATTTATGCAACAGTTAATGGACAGAGAAAGCGTCTCCAAAACTCTACTGATTTTTCGTCATAAAATAGATTATTTTATCGATACGGTACAGGTACTTTCACCAGAAAATTAAAGTGTTGTTGTTTTGATCCTTTATCTGATTTTGTTTTTTTCTGTTTTTATGTATACTATGTTAACATGGGCGGGTATTATTATTTTTATTTTAAACTTTATAAATAATAGGTATTTTTATTGTTTGCTTTTTTATGAATGTAATTTAATTTTTTAATTCATTATGAAATAAATTTTTGTAGGAGCTGCAATAAGAGTGAGATAACTCGTGTTATCGTAGGCATTAGGGTTTATTGTTTTTTCTTCTTCTTTTTTTGCATAAGTTCTTTTTTTTGTACTCTATATTTTGTAATAATCACCATATGAAATATATTTCACTTGCTTTCTATAACGCCAGGTCTTTAACTTCTAAGTTTCTAGATTTAAAAAACTATCTACTCGAAAAAAAATTTGATTTAATGGGTGTTTCTAAAACATGGTTAAAACATGATATTTCTAATGAATTTATAAAGATTGATGGATATAATTTAATAAGGCAAGATAGGGGAACAAGAGGAGGCGGTTTAGCTATTTATTTAAACTCGACACTAACATATGAAATTTTACCTTTTAGTAATATTTCTGATAACCTCGAGCATCTTTGGATTAAAGTTTTGATAAATAGAAACTGGTATATTTTTGGTGTTATGTATAGACCTGCGGGTAAGAATATAACTGAATTTTTGGAGACTCTTGAAGATACTTTATCTCAACTGATTCTGATAGGAAATGACATATTTTTGGGTGGTGATATTAATATTGACATTTTAGACGAATCCAGTGTTTCAGAGAGAGTTTTAGCTATTATAGATTTATTCAACTTAAAACAGATTATAGATCAACCAACTAGGATTACTAGAAATTCGAGAACTTTACTTGATGTTATTGTCTTACCTCAAAATATTGATGCTGTTAACTGTGATGTTCAATGTTTACCTAGAGTTTACAATGCAACTCAATTAGATCACTGCTTGACATACTGCATTCTAAATTTAAAATTGCCCGAGAGTCCAGTCAAGATCATTAAAATTAGAAATCTAAAAAGAGTCGACCCTATATTATTGCAACATTTTTTAGAAATCAGTAACTTCGAAAATATTTACTTTATTGATGATCTAACCGAAAAGGTAGATTATTTTAATGCTATTCTGTTAAATATTTTTGATGTCTTAGCACCAGTAAAATCTATTAATACAAAGAAACGGAAACCTGGCTGGCTTACAGATAATTTAAAAATCATGATGTCATTGCGTGATAAAGCTCTTCACAGAAAACACAATTACTACACCATTGGGAGTATTATAAAACAGAAATTAAACTAATAACGCAATTAAAACTGAAAAAAAAAAGCTTATGTGGAGTTCTATATTAATAATTACAAACATAATTCTAAGCTCGTCTGGTTTAAATTAAGAGAAATAAATGTTTGTGGTAGAACGTCACACAAATGTTTGCCTTCAGATATAGCTGACAATCCGAACGAAATTAATAATCATTTTTTAAACATGTCATCAACCAATAATCCTCCAGATCAAAACTCAATAAACTTTTATAATACCAATCATAAAAACAATTTTCCATATCTCTTCTCTTTTTCTCCCGTCAATCAAACAGTTATATATAAATATCTTCTAGAAATTAAGTCTAGTGCATCAGGTGCTGATCAAATTATTATTGAGATGTTATTACATTGCTGTCCCTTTATTTTACCCATAGTAGCTCATATTATAAATTGTTGTCTGTTACAATCTATATTTCCAGATACTTGGAAACTCTCAAAAGTATTTCCTCTACCAAAGAAAAAAGACGTAACCAATATGAACGATCTAAGGCCCATTTCTATTTTGCCAGTCCTTTCTAAGGTTCTGGAAAAAATTATGAAGTATCAAATTACTATACACATTAATAAGTACGCATTATTGCTAGCAACTCAATCGGGTTTCACAAAAGATCATAGTTGTACTACAGTACTTCTAGACATCACAGATAACTTATTAAAGAATATTGACAATGGTAAAACTTCTGCACTCATCCTCCTGGACTATTCAAAAGCTTTTGACACCATCAATCATGAGATCTTGTTAAGTGTTTTACACTTTTGTGGGTTTTCACCAAAAGCTATTGATCTTCTCGGAAATTATCTTCAAAATAGACGGCAGTACGTAGAAACTAATACTGGCTCATCCAATACTA